GTTTAAGAGGGAAGACATAATAAGATGTAAGATGGAGGCAAAGCACCTAAACTAAAGGACTTATGCACACATTTCAAAATTGAATTGAATTTGGATTGAAATTGAATTGATTCATATGTCAATATTAGGCGAATGGTGTCTTCTTCTTTGTTTGAAATATTGTAACACAGTCAATCTTCAATCCAGATAGCGACAAAGACTTCTGGTGTACATTCCACGCAGAACCCCCCCGCCCCCTAAGCCTTGCTCACGACTCTGTCCTCAAGTGCTTCATATCTCAAACATGTCTTGGAGACTTTAATTAAACCACATACAGGAAAGAAACTCCATCAATCCCTTAAAACACGGAGCTGTGATTAATTAATGAGCGGCTACGCATAAGTCCTTTTGTTTCGGTGTGACACTCAATTTCAGTTTTTATTGCTTTAAACGCATTTTCAGCCCGAGCAGAACACGTTTTCTGAGTTTAAATATTTCTTCACAGGAATGAGATGTATGATCGAGTTCATGTTCATTTATGCTTCGGGATATTAACCTGAACGAAATACATGTTGAAATGTGTGCATAAGCCCTTTTGTTTAGGTGTGACACTCATTTTGAGTTTTTATTGCTTTAAACGCATTATCAATGTAAATCATTTGAAATTGACAAAATAGACATCTGTGTTTTTCACAGGACAGCGACAAATTTGTCACCTTGTTCATTAAAAGTCCGTCACTGCCCTCTTTTGGTCATAGTTTGTCATTACAACCTTCTAAAATACCATCTACATTTCTTACCCTGAAAAGTAGATCACTGCCATCTGTTGGTCACGGTTTGTCATCGCAAACCTCTTAAAGATGATTATATTGCCAGTAGTTCTTATTTCCCTCGAAAAATCAGCAGTAACACATGAAGGCCGCCCTGTGAAGATCATTTTAATCACATCAAGTCAGTGCAAGAAACTACATTTTTCGATTTACAGTATGATCAGTTAGCTTGGCATCTTTGTATATGTATGTGCAGTGGCGGGCAGTGCATTTCAACCTTAGGCCTTCCGTGACGTCACATACATGAACGCAATACTGTATAGGCTCGTCAAGCAGCACTTAATTTCATTTAAAAACATCAATTATGCATTCACAATTAAGAGCAGAAAACTAAATTTACAGATAGTCAAAAATAAAAAGATGATTTAAAAATACGAAATAAAATGCCACCCAAATTACGCTGTGTGATCTTAAACAAGTCTGTCCAATAAATTGCGCAATGTCGCAGTTTCATATAAGACACCAACCAAACAATAACAAAACAAACTATTCTTTGAAAATAAACAGATCATTTGCATTTTGAAAATCGGCGATACAACAGCAAATAACTGAAAATGTTGAGCAGCTGAGATTGAACGAACTTTCGTGCACGAAGGTGACTACAATGCGCCATTATAAATTGCAGGTGAGCAGATTTATTTGATACATTTTTGTATCTTTGTCATTTTATTTCATTACCATGAATTTAATAAAATATAAGAAATAAAATGACAAGAAGAAATGTAAAATAAAATTCATTTACTCACCAATGTTGTGCCTGTTCACTGAGGTGCAGATCTACGTGAGTGTCCCCAAACGTTTTTAAACGCACCGTAGCTTGTAAGTGCCCAGCCGTTTCCTTGCTGCCTTAGTAAAACAATCCAGTGTGGCTCCAAACACCAAATCGGTCAGTTGCAAGCAATAGGCATTCCCAGCAGTACAACTTGCAGCATTTCACAGAGGCAGGGGTTGGACACTCTTCCACTCTGGAGTTGCCCAAGGTGAGAGGCGCCGAGCAGGTGTGGGCATACTTATGACCCCCTGGCTTTGTGCCTGTAGACCCGAGTTTTGCAATGGCAGCACAGTGTCATAGTGATTAACACGCCTGCTTCATAATTGACAGGTTCTGGATTTCAATCATATCTGTTTTCCCCAGGTACTGTGAGAACAAGTCAGGATACAGGATAAAGAAAACGAGTCTCAGACTCGTGATCTGAACCTGACTGTGCCCGTTCACTTACAGCGCACAGGGGCCTGCTCTGTTTAATCTGAAACGAGCAAGTTTAATTTACCTGGCAATGCAAGCTAGCTGAAATATGATTGGTTAAAAACTCTACCATAATAAATAAGTTATTTATCGAGTGGCTTTCAATGTTATTTAAAATAACATTGAAAGCCACTCAACTAAGTGGAAATAATATGACGTAAAGAATACAGAGAATAATTTTGTTAACATATTTATGAAAATAAAATAACACAAAATTATAAAACAACATAAAATACATAAAAGTAAATTTACTTTTCTGAGAATGTTTAGGCCAGCAGAGGAGGCCTTGCTGGCCCTGAGGGCCCGCCACTGTGTATGTGCCTTTTTACAGCAATATTTAAAAACATTGACTTTCAGTGTTGAACATAATTGTTTTTTGTCAATTTCAAACGAATTTTAAAAGTTTGAACGATTTCAAGCCACACTGCATCTCAGTCTTGACAATAAAAAGTCAATATATTTGGTCTGCAAGATGAGACAGTAATCACAACATGGACAGTAGTGCAACCCTTAACATACACCCAAAGTGTCCAAATTTTACTTAAATATAGTGTTATATTCAGTGTGAGTATCAACTGTACCGAAAAGAAACATTAAATATTGCCAGTGAGTACATCTAGTTTTTGTTTACGCGTGAGTTTGAATGCAGTTATAAAACAAATAATAACTTGAGATAGCAATTTTGCATTAGCCCAGGATCACCAAATTGACATCATGGAATACTGTAACATTCAGGATTTTTCTATTCAGGCGGAAGATCGAGACCAAGCACTGTATGGTGGCAACAATCTAAATTCAATTCATATCGCAGTAAGCAGCACTTTGGCAAATAGTAAACACCAGAGATGGGCAATGGGGACGCGTCTCACAGAAAAGGAAATGCAACGTCAATCGAGAAATACTGCAGAAATCCACACGCCTCCATCACATTTGTTTACACATTTTCAGGCCGAGCTGAGCACGTTTTGTGAGTTTGAATGTTTCTTCATAGGAATGAGTTGTATGATCAAGTTAACGTTCATTTAGGCTTCAGGATGTAAACCAATTGTAGCGACATCGCATCACATCACGACTTTTCATTGAAATATTCTTGTAACATTCCAAAGCTTTAGTCTTAATGTAAAGTCACGTGCTCAGCTCGGCCTGAAAATGCGTTTAGAGCAATAAAAACTGAAATTGAGTGTCACACCTAAACAAAAGGACTTATGCACACATTTCAACATGTATTTAGTTTAGGCTGACATCAGTCAAACAGCCTGAGTTTTGGCCCGTCAGCTAAGAACTGCTCTGCTAACATCCCTGGAAGACCCAAAAAATAATGAGTTGCTGTTCCATGAGTCTTAAAGTAGAAGTTCTTCGAAGTACAGTGGGACCGCTACTACTTACGAAATTAATTGGTTCTGGAAGACATTTCCTAACTAGAAAGTTTTGCAAAATGGCTTAAACTGCATCGGTGAGCTGCCCGTATCTCAAGATTTGGGAAGTCCTTTTGTTTAGGTGTGGCACTCAATTTCAGTTTTTATTGCTTTAAACACATTTTCAGGCCGAGCTCAGCAAGGCTGAATGAAGCTCAAAAAGCATTTTATTCTAAAAAATGCAAAATAAGGCACTTTGATCCAAAATGAGACTGAAAAAGAACCCAGGAAAAGACGGTAAACATCGTCCACGACATCCTGAATGTTATAATCAAGGGCCGCAACTCATGATTAATTTAATAATTAATGAATCCGTTTATTGTTTTGGTGGTTGTTTTCATTGCTGAACTAAAATGGAAATTGTTGCTTGTATAGGAGTACTTTTGGCTCATACACAAGAGAGATATAATCAGCAACAATCAATATATATTCATCGGGGTGGCAGAGGAACAAGTAATTAACTCATTCAGTATCAGCCAATTGTAGACCAAGTCTGAAAAGACGCTTAAAAACGTCTTTAGGAGTCGAGGCAACGTTTGACAGACAATGGGAGCGACAACGGGAGGTTTTTCAGGCTTTGCTTGCAAATCTCGGCACTTTGGGCCTTTTTTTGCTTTGCGCAGTGACAGCGGGACAAAGCCGGTGGCACCCGTTCATTTCACTCAACAAGTAATAAAGTCGCTGTACGGCATCAATTGAAATTACTTGTAATTGTAACTGTATTAATTGTAATTCCTAACGCCATTTTAGCTTCAGTTTTTTCGAGGCAGTGACACCTAAAGGATCTTATTTTAAGTGGCATTAATTTTGTTCTTTCAAAAAAAATGTTTTTTTTCAGGAGCATTACTTCTTTTTCATAATGTAAAACTTTATTCACAAGAAATCAAAGGATGTGGCGAAAAACAACAGAGCTATATTGCAAGATGGGGTTTATGTCAGCACTGACAGTGAACCCATTTTGGAGAAGCTCCAGGCCCCTGCAACCCGGAACAGGATATGGAAATGGGTAGAATGCATGGAAGGCACCATTTGTGACTGCATTCTGTGGGGAATAGACCATTGCTGTGGAAAGTGTAACTTTGCATCTTTACACTGCTATTTCAGTTTTAATGCTAAACCAATTAATTATGTTTTCGGGGAAACAATGTAGGGAGAGCTGGTGGTCGACTGGTTCGTGCGTGGGCTCGCAGTGCAGAGTTGCAGGGTTCGATTCCAGCTTCGGCCTTCTGTGTGGAGTTTGCGACACGCGCGCTCCGCTTGTGTCGCTATCAACGGGGCATGGGGTGCGCGTGCGCCCGCCCGCACTCGCGCGCTTGCCATGCGATTCACCCATCCATTTTCTGATCCGCTTATCCTCACAAGGGTTGCGGGGCGTGTTTGAGCCTATCCCAGATGTCTATGGCAGTAGGCATGGTACCAGATGAGTATAAATTGGTGAACCAGGTTGCTGCACGGTGGGGATCCATTTTTATAAACGTGCTGATGGGATCTGCTACCTCCACTACAATGTCCAGAAGCTTGTCCACTGTAGTAACCGCTGCCCCTGAGAGGGTTAAGTTAGCATTATGCTCAGTGTCAATGCTACACCACTTATCCATTCAGACTGACTGTTAGTCATTTTAAATTTCATGTAGTTAGGTGACTTTAATTAAAACAAAACAAACAAACAAACAAACAAAAAAAACCCACACTGAAACAAACGGAACTGTTCACCTCATCGAATGTTGCTTTCACGCCCACATGCAAGATTTTCTGAGTTTGAATGTTTCTTCATAGGAATTAGTTGAATGATCAAATTAATGTTCATTTGGGCTTCAGGATGTCAACCTGAACTAAATATATGTTGAAATGTGTGCATAAGTCCTTTTGTTTAGGATCAACATTACAACATAGCCATGCAAAATAAATGCCTAGCAGGCGACAAAAAACTTCATGTTAGTGTGCAGCAGCTCATCCATTTGTTTTTGTTGGAGTGACGAGTTGTCGCCCAATGACAAGCAGACGGTGTCGACCACGTTGCCGTAAAGGGCAGTGAAACCTGAAAAAGACAACAGCTTTGAATTTGTTTGGATTATCTCTGAGTGCATGAGTCACTGGCCACAAGAACTGAGTTTTATTGATTATGTTGCGTGGAAGTCATGTACGCCAATGACATTTACTTTCTTTGACTTTATCCGGCTAAAAAAAAGCAAAGAAACACACACGTGACATTTATTTACATCTCGCTAATGAAAAATAATCAAAAACTGATATTGTATCCTAGGCCTGAATCCATTGCTTGCTGAATATTAATTACAAATTCACCCGATGTGAAGTGACAAAAATGAGAATGACAGTCACCAAAGCACTTTCAGGCATATATTGTACTGAACAAACAATCAAATACAAAGAAAAATGATTAAAAGTAAGAGCTGAGAAAAATCACCGCGCACACTCGCGATGTCCGGAAATTAACGGGTGCCGCCGGCTCGGTCCCGCTGTCGCTGCGCGAAGCAGAAAAAGGCCCAAAGTGCCGGGATTTGCAAGCAAGGCCTGAAAAACTCAGAAAACGTGCTCAGCTCGGCCTGAAAATGTGTTTAGAGCAATAAAAACTGAAATTGAGTGTCATTCATTATATTTGTCTCGAATGCTCACTGCGGTCCTTCCCTTTTACCATCTCGTGCAACTTGACTCATCAGTCCACAGACTGTTTTTCCAAAAGTCTTGAGGATTATCAAGATGTCTTTTGGCAAATGTGAGACGAGCCTTTGTGTTCTTTTTCGGTCTCATTTTTGATCTGATGATCACCTCTTTCTTTTCAACCCCTGGGTCTACCTATGTTTGCATATGCATGACTTCACTGAATAAAGTCCGTCAGGAAGGTTCTGTGTGATGATATGAGTAAATGTAGGATATACAGGGGTTGGAAACACAAGTCTTGCAGTGAAAAAACTATTTCAAACCATACCCCTGATTTGAAAGCCGAATTCTAAACCCCATCACAGGCTTCAAAACCCTCAACTAGGCTTGAAGGCTTTATTTCACTGAACCGAACGTGCATTTTCCGAAAGGGGGGGTGGGGGGGCAGCCACAGTACCTGGGGAAAACAGATATGATTGAAATCCAGAACCTGTCAATTATGAAGCCCCCCCCCCTCACCCCGTCCCCCCTTTCACCGATTTGGTAGAAATCAACGCAATAAAGTAAATATCGCTTTCGCTCGCTCTCCCAACTTTAATTAGCCCAACACCAAGGTAGGGCAGAGTAATCGGTTTGCTTTTTGGTATGATGGGTGCCCAACCGAGGTTGTA